TATATAAATGTTATATTTCGATTTCGATTTCGATGATGGTTGCTATCAAAGTCGACTGCTCGCGCCTACCTTGGCTTGGTATTCCCTCGTTTGAATGACAGATAGTTTATCTCTTCAACCCCAGGCTGAACCAATATGTATGCCTCGTTTTAGTCCGATATTCCGAACTTTACAAATACATAAATAACTTTGAATGGATCTTTTTAGAGGAGATCATTGACCACTTTGTTTGTTTTTATCATACATTCTCCTACACAGGCAATGGTGGATGGAGCCACACTTTTGAATGAATCTTTTCAGAGGGATCATTGACCACTTTGCTTGTTTTTATCATACATTCTCCTTTGCAGGCAATGGTGGATGGAGCCACACTTTCGCCGACGAAAATGAACAGCAGAGTCGCGGCGAGAGGCGCCACGATATATTCCGCAATTGGGAAGAAAGGGGAGGAAGTGAGTACTCGGATGAGGACTATTTGGATAGTGAACAAGATGAAGGTAGTGATAGTGACAGTAGACATGGTGGCTACAGCTTTCCTTATTGGTAGACTCAAAGGGAATATTAACCTGACCTGATACTGTCTATAAATCATCATATACTGTTGTATGAGTGGAAAGGAATAAAGTAGAAGTGGGGCACTAATATCAATCGATACTTTGTGGGAAGTATTTTGCCTCACCAGGTGATTGAGGTTGAGTGTTTTTAGGAGAACAATCGCTGATGTACGTTAGAAGAAAAAAAAATCCTGCCTGGATGGCCAGAGTGTAGTTTAATCGGCAATCAATTACTGTTTGAAGTTTTACTTGAGCATTTTGAGTGATTGACCCCGAGACCGCTATGGGCAAGAATATGACTTTTAGTAGCTCGGACGCTCGCGTTAATGTGCACTGCCAAGACCTTGTTACAAGCCCGCCTAAGTACAGTATTGGTTCGAATCATGGACTACATTTAAAATATTAAAAATACACAACATTTACAGAAAGGAATTATTTAGTGTATATGTTTTGATTTGAAACAACCAAACGTTCAACCATTTATGCTTTTCTTTTATTTGATGCATGCTTGATATGGGCACATTAAATATAGTTTCTGGCGGTTTGCCATCAAATCGCAGAACTACGAAATAGACTTACAATGCAATATTAATAGAGCGAACTTATTCCTCTGGCGGAAAGGTGGTTCGATAATAACTCGGCAAAAATTCAAAAACACCCCCGGCGAATAAACAGGGCTTCGCCTGTACTCCCTAGAAGTTTTCATACGACTTTGAACTATGCTATTTATATGAGCCTGTCTTTCCGTGCGATGAATGCACAACACGCGGTATACTATGTTCTATAGTACTTTCTAACAGAACAGCAGTGGTCCCAAAAAAAACACCCGGCTTTCCTCATATGTAGGATAGTACAGTACCGGCGACCTGCGACCAGGCTACGCTAACCATCGGCTGGCTTGCTAAACACCGGACATATCGCCGAGTGCCGAAAACAAGGAAAATGGATATGTATACTATAAACACTTTCATTAAGTAAACCGGATTGCTGACAGGTAGTACTCGTTAGCGAAAGTGCAAACGAATTTCATCAGTGGCAACAAGTGTTCGGACTAGTTCGAATCGCACATTTTTGGTTTCGTTGTACTATTTAGTGATTCTGTATAGCTGGTTATTTGGTAATTTTGTTCGCTTCCACACTATGGGCTGGAAGGTGGCCCTCTTGAGTCAATAGGACGTACAAAATGAAAAGTAGATAGGGTCCAATGGTATGTATATGTTTAGACCGCGTCATGAAAGATTTGGTGTTAAAAATGCTTTTAAAAACCAGTATATCTCACAAGTGCTCCAACTCGTTCTGCTGTTCTCCACACTTTCTCAAATCACTGTCTTCTTAAATACTGCGATATCAACATAGGAACTTGAGTATGTCCTCTTTCCCGACTTAAAGCTCTTGCATCGGTGACACTATATTGCCGTGAGGTATGTGGCCGTGAGAACGGCGCGGGTATTGATACAGTAACAACTCGATATATAAAAATTAAATACCATTGGAAAGGCTAGGAAATGACACTCCGAGTTGATCGCGACAATCTCATTTAAAAAAACAAAACCATAGTCCGGTCGCCGCCGAACTATTGTTCACTGCAGTAGGTGGGCCGACAGATATTTAACCTCAAACTTTTATTCAACTCCTTGTTGTATTTTCTCGCCTGGGCATATGCTGCCGTTTCTCGTCAGCAGTGACGTTCAAGGTCGGTGTCTGCGCCATTCCTAAAATCTTAGTTTTCAAAAGATTTAGCATTTCATAGGATTTGGTTCACTAGAAGGAATGTACGACTTGGCTAACTATTGTGACCACCAGAGAACTGATTAAGTCAGCGTGCACAAACCTCAGTGGGAAGATGCCAGAGTTCAAAGATAGGAAGCGTGCAACCAGAAGACGCTAACTAGCTTAATCTACACCAACCCAAATATCATTGGCTGTGTATTAAAAACTACCAGCCTCTTGTGTAAACGCACTGCATCAAGAAGGTGAGAAGACTATCATATTGAGGGTAGTAGAGTTTCAGAGACTAACTGTATTCGTACCTTTGATGTTTCCAATGGTGATCCACACCCCTTTCGTGAATATGTCAATGTTGGAGAGTCTAGATTGTCCACACGTTGAAAAAATAAGACGCGCTAAAACAAAAACATTTAAAATTATTGTAAATACATATGTCTTTAAGATTTAGATTCCACCGTATCAGTGCTTCAATCAACCATCAGATTCAGAGCAGTCTGCATATCTTTTTTAAAATGCATGTAGATATTGCAGTCATGACCACTAGTCGAGAGAAGTGTGAATATACTATGTAAATATAGTGGAATAAAAAAGCCACTGACACATAAGATGGCCGTGATACGCAATGTATCTCTTTTTGTTGTAAAAAACAATAACAGAGCTGAGAGAGAGTGTGAGACCTCTCTAAATAAATATTAAAAAAAAAAGATAGTGCCTTCTCTGTGGTTAAAAACTGATGACAGAGCCATTTGGAATCAACTGACCAATTGGGCGGGAAATGTCAATATAAATCGGACCGGTTACGGGTATTTTTGTTATAACCTCTCATATTTGAAAATATTTATAAGCATTGTATTAGGCATTGTATTATATATTTTTTATAATTCGAAACCATACATGTTCGATCCAGGCAATGTTTCAGCAAGGAATATTAGAATAGCAACGGTCGAAACACAACAGTTATTGTTCAAGGTGTCGGCAGGATATGAGAACGACGACAAAACTTAACATCACAGTGTGCACACATAGTATATGCACGTGCTCTTGGTATACGGGCAACTGATGTAGTATAGAAGTGGAACAAGAAGAATATAGTGCATCTGCACTTCCTGTCGGCGAGGGATGGCCCCGAGATCCGACATGTCGGTCCTTATGTCGGACATAAGTGGCAATGGGAGCTATTACAGCGACTCGGGTATGTCCGCATTCTTCATTTTTAAGCGAATATCTATTTTATACTGATCTTATAGCTGGGGGTATACAATACATAGATACTATGTTATATATATATATATATATATATATATATATATTAATATATATATATATATATATATATATATATATATATATATATATATATATATATATATATATATATATATATATATATATATATATATATATATATATAT